GTTTCTTTAATGCTCAGTGGAGTGGTCATGCTGCACCTCCTATCTTGGCTTCCTGCTGATTAATCTTTCCCTTCCTTTTCTAGATAGTTATTTTTGGCTGTTGTGATTATCCTTACGGGGTTTTTCCTTGCACTGAGTCACTGTTCTGGGCTGTGCCAAGAGGAATTTTGGCATTGTGGAATAAATGTCATCACTCTTCGTGCTCACAGTTGTCACTAATGGCCTGAGTTTGTGCTGTTGCATCTTGGGGCTTGCTCTGACATTGCTCCTCTCTGCTGATACTATTACCTTTGTCATTTAGATTAAATCTTTAATCAAGAGGACAAAAGAGACTGCGAATGTGCATCCAATGTATCGTGACCTCTCTCCAAGGCGTAAACTAGGTCCTGCCATATTTCACAACACTGAGTCCCAAGATCGCCTGATTGAAGAGCTGCAGGACAGACTGGGCATCGCTAAACAGGAACAGGAAGAACAGAAAAGCCAGGATGACTGGCTGACAGAGGGGGTCATTATCACTGCCAGACCCCAGGGGGAAGAGCACAATGGTGGACAGCAAGTAGAGAAGGTAGAAAGCAGGGACATGTGCTGGGAAATTCCAGCATGTCCCTCTGTTCAGATAGCGTTGTGTGGAGGTGCAGATTAAGTTTCTGAGTGGCCTAAGCAACATGAAATGAAGAACTAACTCTTTCTACTCACCCTTGTCTGGCCTGAGAAGGGAACCAGCTTGCGAGTCCTAGTTCTTGATGTTTAAGAATCGGAGTGGAATCTGAGGATGCTGGTGATGGTATCTGTTTTGCAGTCTGCTACTATCACATGTCAAATGTCCATGTAGGGATTATTTTTAAAACCACACTGGGAAGCCTGTCATAGAGGCGTGCTTTGTTTTCTCTAGTACTGTACCTGTGGAGGAAGTTCTGGGTATAAGATGGTGCTCTTCCTTGAGCTGCAGAGAGAAGCATGTTTTTTAGTTCCCTTCTCTTTCTTGCTGCTTTTTGCCCTTAGATAAACATACTGGTAACAACCAGCCTTCCTGTTGCAGGAAGTGCTTGTTGGTTCCAAAACTGGATTTATTCACCTTTCTTCTTCCTCCGTGTCTTTCTAGGTGGTTTTTCCTCCAGAATCCCCGCTCCCCCCAAGGAGGACGGTCTCTGTCCCAGCCTCTCCCCAGCTCCAGCCTTCCAAAGAAGCTGCAAAGACAGTCCCTGCTAACACTGCTCCCTCTCATGTCTCTGGCCCTGCACCTCTCCTCCCACTCCCACCTCAGCCTTCCCATGTGCCATCTGCCCCAGCTCCTAGTCCAGTCTCCTCCTCTTCCTTCACCTTGGCTCCCCAGCCTCCCTTCCAGTGGGAAACTTCTGATGATGATTATCATGAGCTTTCTGTTGTGGGCACCTCTCCTGAAGATCCTAGGCATTCCTGTTCTCCCCAGACCTGGACCCCTAGCACCAAGACAGTTTCTGTTGGGTGTCAAACTGAAGATGATGCTTTCTTCCCACAGATGCAGGCAGGCTTCTCTCTTCTGGTTTGTTTTTTTTAGCAGTGTTTTCCTGTCCTATTACTGCTCCCAACTTGACAGCTCAATAGATATAATGTTCAGGTAAAGGCTGGTACTGAACTCCTACATAGGAGAGAGGACTCATTGGCACTATCTAATCCCAGCTCTGCCTGTCTAGCACTGCAAAGTACATGTCTGTGCAATAACCTGCTGCTGTGTGTGTGGTTCCTGTCTGTCCTGATGATTACTTTATGCAGCAGGGAGTTGGTATTTCCCTCTGAGATGAAGAAGGTAACTCTGAAACACAGGCTGCAACTCGCCCTGCCACAATCGCTCTTGGAGTGGGGGGAGTAAAAGTTGGCAACATCTCGATACTGGAAGGAGCAAATCAGCAGTCCTTCCTGTGTTTGCCCGTTTAGACAGGTGTCCACAGTGCGAGTGGATTTCGGGGAGGACATGGTATGATCCCTGTCAGGGAAGGGCTGTAGCTCCAGGATGGTAGGAAGTCTTAACGTATATGAGCAGTGCAGTGGTGTGCTATGTGTACAAGCAGCTCTTGGGCAGTGTGTAAGGAAACACCTCTGCATCTTGAACTGTTGTACTTTTCAGGTGACCTCTGCTCCTCCCCTGGTCCACAGTGCCAATCCGCTGGCTGCTTGTGCACCCCTGGGCCCCCCCGCCCCTGAGAAGGCAGGACCTCCTTTCTGTTTCCTCAGCATGGTGTGCTTTTCTGGTCAATGCGCGTGCTGCAGATGCTGCTATATCTGCTCTGAGAGCTCCCAGTGCCATTAACGTAGACAATATCCTGTAGTGCATGGTTTGCTGCTCGTAGAGCTTCTAACTGAACTTGAGTGATGGCAGATCTCATGGGTGAAGGGCGGGAATTTGAAGGGCCTTGGCATGATGAATTTACGTGGATGCTGTGCTGAGTGTCCCCTGTAAGCAGCAGGCATTGTGTGCAGGAGGTGGAAACAAACCTCTTTTAGGTGGGACTCATCTGTGAGCTGTCAAGAAGACTGGATCACCAGGCCACGAGGAAATTGTAGCGTGCACGGGTGGTTGTGCCTGCATGGAGGTCAGCTGTGGTCTGCAGGCAAGGGTGAAGTGCTCTTGCTACATGTTGAATTAATCTCATCTTGTTTCTCTCCAGATGGTATTTATCATTTGTGTGTGGCATGTGTGCCTGCCCAGCCTGGTGGCCTCAAGCCCCTGATTTGAGAGAGGATATGATTCTCTTGACACAGTCTAGCCCTTTTCCTCCTGCTGTGCCATGCAGCAAGCCCTGGCTTTGTCCTGGGACTCTGGCTTTGTGTACAAAGGCCTGTTGTCTCCCTCTTGTGAGAAGTATCCTTGCAATGGTGTGCTTTGGAGACATTCACTTTAACTGTCTGGTAGCAAATAACTGCTGTGTGGTTCAGCGTTTGTTTTAAGCTCAGGACATTGGGGTGTGATGGGGACATTCAGTGCTGCTGCACTAGGAGAGATTGCAAGTCATGGGATGGCTGGGAGGAGAGAGGAGGGCAAAAGCTGTGTGTTAGGCGCCGTTGGTAGTCACGCTGCACACGAGAGAAGGCTGATGAGGAGTGTGTGTAAAAAACCCTAAAATTACGTATATCATGAGAATTTTTATACAAAGGAGCAGAAACCAGGGTTTGTCATTGAGTAAACTAGTTGACTAGAAGTACAACCAGCTGCAGGACAGGGAATAGAGCTTCTCCTGTGGCTGAAAAGGCAGGTTCTGCCAAGGCTGTGAAGCACTTCAGTGTGTCCCTGCTCCCCTGGCTGTGCTGGCAGCAGGCTGATGGGTTGTTCACAAGTGTAGATTTTATGTCTGTTTTAATCTATCCTCTTAGTAAGAGAAAACGTGCTCCAGACTAACATGTCAGGGAGGGACTTCTTTGGGTGTCTCTAAACCTGACAGGAGCTATTGAAGTGCAAAGTCAGCTAAAATAATCTGTATTTCATTACTGCAATTTGCCTGTGTTGTGGTTTAACTCCAGCTGGCAACTAAGCACCATGCAGCTGCTCACTCACCCCCCCCCAGCCAGTGGGATGGGGGAGAGAATCGGGAAAAAAGTAAAACTTGTGGGTTGGGATAAAGAGAGTTTAATAGGACAGAAAGGAAGACAATAATAATGATAACAATAACAAAATGACAATAATAATAAAAGATTGGAATATACAAGTGGTGCACAATGCAGTTGCTTACCACTCACTGACTGATGCCCAGTTAGTTCCCGAGCACACCCTGGCCAACTCCCCCCAGTTTAAATACTGGGTATGACGTCACATGGTATGCAATACCCCTTTGGCCAGTTTGGGTTAGCTGTCCTGGCTGTGTCCCCTCCCAACTTCTTGTGCCCCTCCAGCCTTCTTTCTGGCTGGGCATTCGAAGCTGAAAAATCTTGACTTAGTCTAAACACTACTTAGCAACAACTAAAAACATCAGTATGTTATCAAGGTTATTCTCATACTAAATCCAAAACATAACACTATACCAGCTACTAGAATGAAAATTAACTCTATCCCAGCTGAAACCAGGACAGCCTGCAAAAGGGGGCTTTGGTGGCCAAAAAGAACATATACTTTGTTTATAAGTTATGAACCTAAGTAAAACATTTCTCCCCCTCCTTCTTGGGAAGCCTTTCCAAGCCGTGTGTGCTGTGGTGGTGTGTTTCAGAAACAGTTTCTGAGACAAGTATCTTAATCCCTTTCCCCCCACCCCCTGTGCATTTCCAGCGGTCCAACAGTAGACATGGCAGTCTTTCCATTGCAGTCCTGTCTGCTGGGACTCTGCTGTGGATGCACTGCCCTCTCTGTAGGTAAACAGCAGGCAACTTGAAGGGAGTTATTTCCTTCCTGCTTCCACTTGCTTAGCTCAGACTTGGGATGAGAGCCACCTGATGGGGGCAAAGGAGACTTGGAAAAAGATCTGCAGAAGGTGGGAGAAGATCTGCAAGAGGGAGGGAGGGGAAAGGAGAAGATATTCTCAGCCGAAAGGGAGAAGATATTCTGGCCAAAAGGGAGGCGAGATGAGGAAGAGGAGAGGGATCTCCATCAGAGAGGAAAGAGTGACAACTGAGAGCAACAGCATAGAAGTAGAGAGGGCTCAAGGGGAAGGGGCCCTCTGGATGGCGTCTCTGCTTTGTCAGCTGGCCAGGAACTGATGAGGTAAAGGGAGATTTTTGGCAGAGGCTTAGAGAGCACTGTACTCACTGCTTGGGATCTGCTAGTGACTTCTGCTGTACAACAGTGAAGGACAATCAAATCCTCGGTTCACAGCTCTGCTATTACACATCCCAGGGTCTCTGCACGTCTTTGCATGGACAGAATACATGTGTGTACTTGGTCCTGACTATCACTGGCTTCTGCAGAGAGTGTAGCTGTCTCCTAGCAATCTCCTGTCCGTCTCTACAGAGGAGCCACTGGCAGCAACAGCAGCCATTTATCTTGTAAGCTCAGCAGCACTTGCCTTACAGTCTTTGTTTTCTCTTCCCTGCAGTTCATGGCGCAGGGGAAAGCCGGGAGCAGCTCCCCTCCATCCACAGCCTCCAAGCCTGGCAGTCAGCTGGACACCATGCTGGGAAGTCTCCAGTCTGACCTGAATAAACTGGGTGTAGCTACGGTTGCCAAAGGTGTCTGTGGAGCCTGCAAGAAGCCTATTGCTGGGCAGGTGAGTTGAAGGTGCTGTCTCATTGCTCAGTCTTGGGCTGCAGCTGGGAGTAATGGGGAGGGCTGTTTCGTGAGGCTGAAGAGACTGGAGATGCTGGAGAAACTGAAGTACTCTATTTATCCACTGGCTAGGTACGCTGTAAGCTCCTCCAGTGACCTCTACCCTGCCCTTGAGGGACTCCCTCTCCTGAGATGATAGGTAATTCAGTTTTCATGCTACCCCAGTCCAGGGCTCACTTGAGTAGTAGAACTTGTCATTCTTGCTGACCTCCAGCTGGTATCTTGTCATGTGGTCTAGGGAAGAGGGAGATAGAGTTGCCCTTCATAGTTTTTCTTCCCAACAGGTAGTTACAGCCATGGGGAAAACCTGGCACCCTGAGCACTTCGTCTGCACCCACTGCCAGGAGGAGATTGGGTCACGTAACTTCTTTGAGCGGGATGGTCAGCCCTACTGCGAGAAGGACTATCACAACCTCTTCTCCCCTCGCTGCTACTACTGCAATGGGCCGATCCTTGATGTGAGTTCCTTGGAGGGGGATTAAGGGTGCTGGCAAGGTGCTGCAAGCCTGGGTGTCAAAAACTCCACCCATGTGTCCTGGGTGGAAGATTTTGTTTGGGGACTTCTATTTTTCCTTTGTCCTGGCTCTGAAAGGGAAACAACTTGGCCCAGTCAAATTCTTAAACTAGCAAGAGGAGTTAGTCCCTCTTACCTTCGCTGAAGTTCCTTCAGAACCCCACATCGCTCCATCATTCTGATAATGATTCCTCAGCATTTGTCTATTGGTAGCCTGTAGTAACAGGCACCAGTGCTAGTCCTGAGAGCTGGACGGGGCCCTGTATAAGGGAGGAAGCAATGCCTAAGATCCTTTTAGGGTAAAAAAAAGTGTGCAGTGGGGAAAGCCTGAATGAGCCAGAGGCGGGGGAGAATTGACTCGGCTCTCTAAAGGACAGTCTATTTTAATACATGCTCTTGTCAGTACCAACATTAATGTGTTCTTCCCCCCACGCAGCCCCCCCTTACCTCCAAGCTGAAGCCATCATTTACATGACTTGCACTTTGTTTTCTTCTGAACAGAAAGTGGTGACGGCTTTGGACAGGACATGGCACCCTGAACACTTTTTCTGTGCCCAGTGTGGAGCTTTCTTTGGACCTGAAGGTATTGCTGGTTTATGCAATCTCCTCCCTGAACTGCAGACAAGTGCGTAAGGCAGAGCTGCTATTAGGGGCCAGCCTGACTGATGACAGGGGAACTACTGAAGATGGAAGTTCCAAGAGATATAGCAGTTTATGGGGGAAGGATGCTAGCAGTAATCTTCTTTTCTCCCTGGAGAGGAAGGGTGTGCATGTGCATGTGTGCGCATGGGACTGGAAGGGCAGCAGGCAGAACAAGGAACAGCTACCTGCTGTGTCTGTGCATTAGCAGAGGGAAGGATGATCCTACCCATGCTGGTTACGCCGCGGAGCTTGGCTGGTGTTAGGTAAAGATCAGGAGCTGATACTCTTTGCCTCTATTCTCCGTTGGCAGGATTTCATGAGAAGGATGGCAAAGCCTATTGCCGCAAAGACTACTTTGACATGTTTGCTCCTAAGTGTGGAGGCTGTGCCCGGGCTATCCTGGAGAACTACATCTCTGCCTTGAACACCCTGTGGCACCCTGAATGCTTTGTCTGTCGGGTAAGAAACCCAAGGTTCTTTGCTGCTGCTGTACGACCCCTCTCATTTCCACCCTGCAGGCATCTGGTTCCTTATCGGGAAAAGGCGTCTGTGGGGTAGTGAAGGGCAGCCAGCCCCACAAGATAAAAACATGTCAGCAACCAAACACCTTCTTGTTCCTCCGCCTGTTTACATTGAACTTTCTAGCTGCTTTGGTCTTTCTGCAATTATGGGCTTCTGCAGCAGCTCACAGATAAACAGAGACATTTTCTGTGACCTTTAAATAATTATAAGCTAAGCTTCTCTCTAAGCACTTGCCTCAGCGATCAGATTTTGAGGATCTTCCTCCCATGCTCCATCTGACAACGTAAACTAATGAGACTGACCTTGTTCAGACAAACATGCAAGTCAGTGAAATAGTGGCAGGCTCCATACAACAGGCATAATAAACAGGAATACTGCAGATGAAATGCTTGGCACTCTTTCAGAGAGCCTTGCAAATATTAACTCTTACAAGCCCCAAGAGCTGAGCAAAATCAGCCAGTGTTTGCTAGAGTGGGAAAGAAAGGCAGAGACCAGAACAAGCAGCAGAACCGCAAGCTGCTGATTCCTGTTATGATGCTCAGAGTGGACTGTCACCGTGCTGTTGGGACTGACTGCCCAGAACTATCTGTGGCTCCCAGAGTGGTGTGCAGAGAGTTGAGCCAGAAGATGGCAGTCCTGGCTGCGCGGGGCTGCGGAGCGGTGTGCCTTTTTGTGCAGAGATTGAGACTATCGTCAAGCAGCTCTGCTTTCCTTTCCCCCTGCTGCCACACTGTGACTATTAGTGGGGCCAGCACTGATGTCTTCCAGGACACGAGATGGGATTCTCTTCCTGTTTTTGCTAAAGCAGAGCAGACTTTTCAGCTGTCCTGCTGACTGAGGGAGGGGACTTTATTGAACTAATTGTCAGCATTAGAAAAAGTCTTGGACTTGCTGCAGGCAAACTGCATTTGTCCCACTATTGCAAATGTTTAGCTATTCATGCCTCTGCATGCTGTTTGCTGGACTCCTGTGTATGTGTTGGGGTCCAGCTGTGTGTGATACTATGTGTCCTCCCTGGGGAAGAGGATGGTGTTGGGGCTGAGCAAAACCAGGATTCTGGAAATCTGACTTCTCCTCTGGCCTTGCTGATGATATGTATAGTAATTCTGGCAGTATCCTTAACTCTCCCCCACACCCTGCTGCCTTAGCTTCCCACTTGTACAAGGAGGGGAGTCCCCCCAGTCTTGCAGGGAGAGTGGGTGCTTCTGTGCAGGTTCTGAAGTTGTAGCATCCTCAGCTGCCTGACATTGAGGGGGATGAGGAGCTCTGGATGCTAATAAGTACATAGCTGGTGTATCCTCTTCTCCTCATCTATTCAAAATCATTAGCACTGTAGAACAAACAGCAGTTTCTCCCAGCAGTGATGCATGTGTACCTTGGTGGATATGTTTCAGGATGGACGATCCTGTGCAAAGTGTATTGGCGGAATGCCAGCCATTCTGGAGAGATCACTTGTGAAAATGAATTGTGCTTCATTTTCTCAGTTGGAACCAGCCACACGTTCATCAGAATTCTGCTGCATGAAAGTTGTGTTGGTCCCCGCTTCTGCCTGCCATTGTGGGGAAGCTGGAGTGAGATTTAAAAAAAAAAAAAAAGGGGGGGGGGGGAAGGTGCTGCAGTGTTTCCCATCTCAGGGGAAGGAGCGTTCGTTCTCCTGGCTGGGCACATCTGGTAGCTCATCTGTATTATTTTCTTTGTAGAAATGAAACCAGCTGGGGGAAGGAGCATGGTTAATTCCCTTGCTTGTGGCTGTATCTCTCCATCTCTCAGCCTTTCCTTGGAAACTCTTCTTTGTGGAGAGAGCTTGGCTCTCTGAACAGCATGACAACGCTGAAAGGCAGCAGTTCACCCTGCTCACAGTAGAGCTAGGCTGTGCCACAGAGCAGAGGAGACTTGTGGAGCTGCCTGCACCCCCAGCTTGTTACACAATCTGTTCCCTTCTGCTTTGTCCTCCTGCAGGAATGTTTCACACCGTTCATCAATGGCAGCTTCTTTGAGCATGATGGGCAGCCCTACTGCGAGGTGCATTACCACGAGCGTCGTGGCTCGCTCTGCTCCGGTTGCCAGAAGCCTATCACAGGACGCTGCATCACTGCTATGGGCAAGAAATTTCACCCCGAACACTTTGTCTGTGCCTTCTGCCTCAAGCAGCTCAACAAAGGAACCTTCAAAGAACAGAACGACAAGCCCTACTGCCAGAACTGCTTTCTCAAGCTCTTCTGTTAGAGGCATCATAGATGGCCGCTAAGCATCTTTCTGCCACCCCCTTGGCAGTTCTGTCTCTCTGAACATTACTGTGATTTAGAAACGTTACCAGGCAGGGGAGGAGGGTGGGGGTGGGGTGGGGTGGGAGTGCTTTCTGCTGCTATGGAGAGGCAGTAGATCCAGAGATGAGATGGACCATTAAACTGGAAATGCCCTTGCTGTGTCTCAGTAGAGAGAGGCTGAGTCCCCTCATTACCGTGTGCGTGTCTGTGTGTGTGACTGACAGCTGAGCTTAGCTTGAGGGCTCCAACAGGGAGATTTTACCCAGCCCCCTCCTGGCAGAAGGAATCTTTGCCAGTATGTTTCAGCCTGTGTCAGCTCCCTGAGCGAATCGTGACAGTTGCAGACAGCACAGCCCTCTGCTTTGACACCTCTTTCTCAGGCTTTTGTCTGCATGTGTGCAGTCTGAGCAATAGCACAGCGAGGGCACCCTGTGATCTCCGTGCCACCCTGGCTTCACTCACTAGAGCCACGTGGCGTGTGTGACTTACTGAGATCAGAGCATCAGCACAGGCAGCCAAGACCCTGCAAGGGTCTCTCCAGTTCCATTACACTGTAAGGAGATGATACCACTTACTTTTTTTTCCTTTTTTTTTTTTTTAAAGAGGAATCAAAATGTTACTGTGTGGGGCTTTTTTTCCCTGGTTTGTTATTCCCTGCCTTTTCTCAACACACTGGAGCAGGAGGTGGAGTAAACCCCGACCATCCCTCAGCACTGATGTGTGCTCTTGTGGGTGACATCCTATGCCAGGCACCTCCGTCAGCACCCAGGCCTGCTCAGGGCATCTGCTCCCCTTGCCTGCTGCTTCTGGGAGAGAGGAAGAGATGTTGTCCCTTCTTTAAAAGCAGGTGCAGAGAGGTTAGAGCACAGCCTTTTTCATCCATCCCTGTCATGAGCGAGTGTGATGTGTGTGTGTTTATCTGGCCTGAAACTCTCCCATCTATCAGGGCCTGAAACTGTCACAAGAGCAGGGAGAAGTGGAGGGGTTTAAGAAGCCAGGAAAAAAAAAATCCAAACTTTATATCCTTTCTTCTTCCTCTCTTTGCTAATGAGACCTGTCAGCCCCTTGGTATTTCCCTTTTCTGTGCTCTTGTTAAACATGTTCTACTGAGAGATGCTAGAGCAATAACCTTTTATATTGACTGTTACTGGTATAACGAGTCCCTTGGGTCAGGTGTGTGTGACGCACTTGGAGTTTTACTATCGAAGTGAATACTGTATCCTGTCTTTGATAAGAACTGTAGATTTCTACACTGATTTTGAATTCATACCTAATTTACTTTTAATCCTCTTATACAGAAATCGGTTTTGAAGTGATTTTAAGAAAGCAACTTTTATATCAAGCTGTGCTGTTCTAGGCAGTATGCCAGTTGTGCTGGTTTACTGAATCTGTAACCTCAATGCTTTGTTAAGCCTAACTAACATTCAATATTTTCTTTTTATTGTGGGTTGGGAGGGGCTGGAATCTATGGGGAAGGGAATGTGACTTGTTTGGTTTTTTGTTTTTTTTCCTAGCACAGGCAGGTGAACTGTGAATAGCTTTTTTTCTCTCCGCCCCCAATCCCCCCACAGGTCACCTAAAAGTGTGTTTTTTGGGTTTTATTGTAACCTGTAAACTGCTGTAATTGAATCACCTGCCATTCTCCCAAAGCCCAGCTTCCAGGATGTTACAGTGAGTCTTAATATGATTCTGCAGGGGGGAAGAGCTCAGACCTTGGCCCTCAGTTTCTCCTCTTCAGCCACCTGAAAACAGAGCAGGGCTAATTGGGGAAGGGGTTCCTTTTCTACTGTGGAAGAAAGGTCTTGTGACAAAGGAGAAGAAACTGGGAGAGACAGACTCTGTTCCTGACTAGCTGTGTAACTTTGGGCCAGTCACTAAACCTTACTGTGCCTCAGTTTCCCCATCTGTAAAATGGGGGCAGTTTAGCCTGGATTTGTGAGGTTATTGTGAGGCTTAGTTCACGTTTGCTAGAGCACTTCTAGGTCTCTGGCTGGAGGGTGCTATGGAAGGTGAAATACTAAGTTGAAATACCTGATGGTGTTCTGTGGTAACAGCCAAAGCAGCCCAGGGAGCGGTGTTTGGAATTACTCCTCCAGAGTGCTACAGCAATATCACCATCGACATCTGGTTGTGCTTTTCAGCTTGGCAGGTGCACTAGGGGTCCGGGGGCAACTGTGTCAGAAACCAGCCCGACCTTAGACTAGAATCTGCGGGTTACTGTCCTGCATAACCTTGCTGCGGTGCTTTTCTGACCTGCTTGGGTCGCTGAAACTGTTTTTCACTGGTTTCCCTGTACAAATGAACCTCAGTTTGTGGTTGTGAGACCGAAGATAGCTGTGCAAAGAAAGCACTAGAGCTAAAGCTGTGTCAGCTGGGCTGAACGCAGCTCTTGAAGAGCTTGTGAGGCAAGAAACCTTAATGCGTTTGTCTTTTCATCTTGAAATCAATTTGACTTAAAATGGACGTTTCTGAGCTGCGAGCGTTTGTCTTGCTGAAAATGTCAACTTCTTTCAGCCCTGCTAAAGAGGACGAAAAGCTGTTGTGGTACCGGAGAGGGAAGAGAAGATGCTTCTGGCACTACCACTTGTTGAGTGACACCTGCAGACTGTGTAATCATGTGCCTCAGTTTCCCTGTCCGGGGAGTCTTTAACCTACCTCACTCCTAGTTGAGGCTTGTGTAAGTGACGCTTCTGGCACACGTGGAAAACCCTGGGTGCAGGGTTCTGTGGAGGGGTGCTGGTGGTGCGCAGCACCAAAGGGGAGGCTCGTCTGTCATCGGTGCTTAACAGAGATCGTTAAACACTTAACCTCCCGAGTAAGATGTTGAGCGTGTCCTGGATTTATCTGTTTTCTGATGTGCTGGGGTGCTACGTGGATGCTACTCTGCCAAATAATGACTTCTGGTGGCTGTTGCCACTGTGGGTGTCCAAAATGCCTGTAATTTGATTTCAGATGCAGTTTTAGGGTAGCACAGCCACGGCGCTGAGTGAGCGGCCTGGGAGGGTGGCGTGTGGGGTGAGACGGGGTGTGAGGGCTGGGGACAGTGCTGGAGGAGGAGGGACCTGCGCCATGGGGTGTCCCCAGGGTGGGGAGAGGAGAGGAGACGGGTGGGGGGGCTGCGGTGGCTCCCGGGTGGGTTTCGTCTTTAAAGGCCTCAGCTCTGTGCGCAGCCCCCCCCGGACCTGGGGAGGGTCTTTCACACCACGTCCGGGCTGGGCTGGGGGATGCTCCGCTGGGTCGACAGTTAATTTTTGATATCTTTTCTCCCTTGTAAACTTCTAACTCTGCTTTTTTTTTTTTTTCATTTAAAATTCTTGCAGTTACGCTAATAAAATTTTTACCGTTATTCTCACGTGTGCGTTGCCCTTGTTTCTAGCCCTTAAGCTTGTGAGAAACCAGAATCAAAGCGGGTCACTCCTCTGGGGTTGGGGTGCTCCCAGGGACCCCCTTCCCCTGCACCCCTCTGTGCCCCTGCTGCTGTCGCGGTCCTCCGGCCGCTAGGGGGCGGCCCACCCCCAGGCGAGCGGCCTCGTGGGCCGCCCGCGCTTTCCGCCGCCGGTCCTTCTAAGCGACAGGCGCGGTGCTCAATGAGGACGGCGGCTCGCCCTGATTGACACGCGGCGGGCAGCCAATGGGTTGAGCCGAGGTAGCTGCGCGGCTCGCTGCCATTGGGCATGAGTCGCGGTATAAAAGGAGGTGGGCCCGCCCTCCGGCCTTTCTTTCCCGGAGCCCTCGTGGAGGTGGGTGCGCGGCGCGGCGGCTCCCGTGGGCCCGGGCCGGGCCTGGGCGGCCGGGCCGGGCTGGGAGCGAACCCGGAGCGAACCCGGGGTCCTGGGCCGCGGCCGGACTGTCGAGCGGGGAGCGCGGAGCTGCGGGGAGGAGGCTGGGGGAGGGAAGGGAAGGGTGCGGACCCGCACCCGGCTGAGCCGCGCTTCTCTCACGACAGGTCCCATCTCGTCTTTAAACCCACCGGGCGATCCTTGGAGCACCGCCGCGATGCCCAGGGAAGACAGGGCTACGTGGAAGTCCAACTACTTTATGAAAATCATCGTGAGTGTCGGCGCGGTTCCGGAGGGCTGAGGCTCGGCCTTCGTGGGGTGGTGCCGCCGCCCGGGCCTCGGGGGTGATCCCGGCCCACGGAGAGCGGTCCTGGCGCTGCGAGGGACAGCGGGAATCGGGCTGGCGTGTCTGCGGGGGCTGGGGGGTGCTTTCTGAAAAAGAGGCGGGGTGCCATAGGTTGTCTGTGTGAGGAAGGATTACGCGGTGATAGGAAAAGATGAAGATAGTCCGGATCGGACCGTTTTTAAGGTTCCTGTGAGAATTTGCTGTGGCAGTTACAGAGGTAATTTGTTTAGGGATCTAACCAGACAGCTGAGTGAAAGGTGCAGCGTTGTGGTGCACCCAACGTCAGTATGAGCTGAGCACTCTCAAAACTCCCGACAGATTTTTTACGTTTTAACATATTCTGGTTTTAACGCTGCTCTGTGCGCTGGTCCAGATTTCTTTGTGTCTTTCTTGCTATAGCAACTCCTGGATGATTACCCAAAATGTTTTATTGTGGGAGCAGACAATGTGGGATCCAAGCAGATGCAGCAAATCCGTATGTCCTTGCGTGGGAAGGCTGTTGTGCTGATGGGGAAGAATACAATGATGCGCAAAGCTATTCGTGGTCATCTGGAGAATAACCCTGCCTTAGAAAAGTGGGTAATGCTGTCTGAGTGTTTTCCTGGATCCTCCGTCTGGGAGGAGGAGACGTTGTCTGAGAAGTAGAACTGAAAGCTGTCATCTTTCCTTCAGGCTGCTGCCTCACATCCGTGGGAATGTGGGCTTTGTCTTCACCAAGGAGGATCTGACTGAGATCCGGGACATGCTGCTGGCTAACAAGGTAGGGCAGATCAGTCCTCACTGTGTCTCTGGGCTGGCAGATACAGAATTAAAAATAAAACTGAAACTGTGTGTGGGATACCTGATTATTTGGAGTCTTCAAGGGCTGGGAACTAGGCCCCTGCAGCCTAAGCTAAACTGTTCAAGTTCAACTTTTGTCTCACTTGTGTGTGCCTGGGTGATGTCCATCCTGGAGGAATGCTTCAAGAGGGATTTGATGCTATCCCATGAGATCTGAGAGGTGAGCATTCCTTCAGCTTCTCTTTTCCCCTCTCTCCAGGTGCCAGCCGCTGCCCGTGCTGGCGCTATTGCTCCTTGTGATGTGACTGTGCCAGCCCAGAACACTGGTCTTGGACCTGAGAAGACCTCCTTTTTCCAGGCCTTGGGCATCACCACGAAGATCTCCAGAGGGACCATTGAAATTCTGGTTAGTGAGCAGCATGCTGCTGTTGTCAAAGCTCTTCCTTGACTGGAGAGCCCTGATTGTGGCAGTTGACGGAGCTGTGAAGGTCAGAGCTCCCATTAGTGCTGAAATGCTGTATCAGTAGTCTGACTGCTGCATTTGGGGTATTTGAAGGAGGAGGCCTTGCTTGGCTCCAGTACGCAGTGCGGGAGGACTTAAGTTTTCCATCGGATCTCAGCTGTGTGGTTAAGCTCTGCTGGAGGAACTTGCAGGCAAGCTACCTGCAGGTAATGGAGGAAGGGCGCTGCCTTTCTCCTCGCTGAGATGCAGCTGCTTGTGTGGTCTAGGGCTTTCTCAACTCGTGGAGCTGAACTTGGAGCCTCTTTTTGTTGTGCTCATTTGTTCCTTCAGTTCCATCTCTTGCGATTGGAAATGTACATTTGTGTCCCATTGCATTGATGTGCCTGAATTTCTTTGCGAATGTTCACTCCTTTTCCCCTTATTTCCACAGAGCGATGTGCAGCTCATCAAGACCGGAGACAAAGTGGGTGCCAGCGAAGCCACCCTGCTGAACATGCTGAACATCTCCCCCTTCTCTTTCGGGTTGGTGATCCAGCAGGTCTTTGACAATGGCAGCATTTACAATCCCGAAGTGCTGGACATCACCGAGGAGACCTTACACAAGCGCTTCCTGGAGGTGAGTGCCACAACCCGTACCTGTTATGTTCCACTTCTTCTGCCTAACTGCTGTGGCAGCCAGCACTGCCCCAGGATGAAGTATCATCTCTGGTATTTTCTGCAGGCTCTTGCAGAGCTGGGAGCTCTCCCCAGTGCTCTGCAGAAACAGTCTGTCAGGAAATACCTTCTGTAGGCTTTTTCATCTGAAGCTATTTCAGAAAGCGTTTGAGGCCATTTAAATCCTTGTCTAATTTCACTGGAGCTGCATTACTTGTCTGCATTGCACGCTGTCCCTCGTTACGTCGGCAGTGTGGAAATGTGCCGTCATCTGTCGTGGTTTCTAGCCCAGGTTATTTCTCAGAGCACAGAAACCTGATTCTCTCTCTTCACAGGGTGTTCGTAACGTTGCCAGCGTCTGTCTGCAAATTGGGTACCCGACCATTGCTTCTGTGCCCCACTCCATCATTAACGGGTACAAGCGGGTCCTGGCTGTGGCAGTGGAGACCGACTACACCTTCCCGCTGGCTGAAAAGGTAATGGCTGGGTCTGATCTGCCACTCAGAAGGGTGTTAAAAATGCAGCCAGGCATTTCTGTTTCACAGAAACACCTTGCGTGTCACCTAGTTTGAAAGAACTCAGACCTGCCTGTGTGCGGGGGACCTGTCCTGAAACAGGGTTCTTCCACATGTTGTGTGTGAGTGGCAGGAGAAAGGTGAACTACCTGGCGTTCCTTCCTCCCTGGGGCTATTGCACTTGAGTGTAGCTGAAATGTCTTTGATTCTTCATACATGGCAGCGATAAGTGCACCTGTTTGGCTTCTGGCAAGCTGCAAGCGTTGCCCTTAACGATTGCAAAGGTTCGACCCTTCAAAATGTTTGTTTCCTTTGAGTTTACCTTTTTTCCCCCCGCTTTTTGCAGGTGAAGGCCTTCCTGGCAGACCCCTCTGCTTTTGTGGCTGCCATCCCTGTGGTAGCTGAAGCGGCCGCACCCGCCGCCGCTGCCGCCGCCGCTCCAGCGAAGGAGGCGGTGAAGGAGGAATCGGAGGAGTCTGATGAGGACATGGGATTCGGGCTCTTTGACTAACAACAGCCGCCGTCTGTCTTATTTGTGTCAGAGTTGGTCCAGTGGGAGAAATAAAAAGCTATTTTACACCTTGACGTGTCCTCGCATCGATGGTGTAGTCTCCAGATCACTGCGAGAAGCGTAATGGAGGGGCTGCCGTAATGGAAGGGCTGCGGAGGGACGCTTGTTCCTGGCGGGGGGGGGGGGGGGGTGCCGGGGGCAGCCCGGGC